ATTCTCTGTTTTTCTTTGTATCATGTAGTATGTGGGGACTGATGCAACTCCTATGCCTGGAGTTCCCCCGTCGGGTCTTGCAGGAATACCTGGTCAACTCTGCTCCCCTGTCAATGTATGCCCTGTTGCTGGACATGGTAGAGGTGATTGGAGATGACCAAGAATGTTGGGGAGGTGCTACGTCTGGACGTAACTTTGGCATTGTGCTGGAATTCACTCTTCCTTCACACAAGTATGTTTCCCTGACAGACCCCATTTTGGGAACGTCCACTGCTGAAATCACTGAATGGGTAAGTCGCCAATCCCTGGAATACGTAATGTACTTTATCTCCTGAGTTTTCTTTCTGTTCAGTCTCAAAAGCAGATCATTTTTCATCTGATGCAGCAGTAGATGAAAAGTTCAATCTTACTTATTCATACTTCCAGTTCATTTCAGATTTGAAAATAGTTTTCATGTTCCCTTTGTCAAAATAAGGCTACAATGGCTGCATTTATCAACAATTTAAAGTTAACCTTTACGACTGATTAACGAGTCCCTTATATACTACTTGGCGGTTTATGATGCTCCATTTTGATAATATTATTGATCATGTCCTGCAGATTTCAGAAAAGACATCATAATATCTTTTTTGAAATACGCACTTTTAAGTTGTTTATAATTTGAAGTCTAATCCCCCGCCCCGCCTGATTAGTCATAGAGAAAAGATGCAAAGTTCGAGATTTATTCGATTCTTTTGGAATCAAGTTAGTTCTATCTATTATTTATTAGTATTAGTATTATATTATTACTACTATACATGGTCTCATTTCAAACTCTCTTCAATTTCTTTCTTTCTCAGGCTTGGAAGTGTCCTATCCCTCTTCTGATGAGTGTTTTTTTCATTCTCTTTGCTTATCAGACTTTCAATGTTGGATCTCTCTCTGATTTTTTGTTGATTGCCTGTGATAGTGATAAAAACAATTTCTTTCTCTCTTTTCCACTTTCACATCTCTATATATCAATTTCTATGTGGTACAACAAGAATCAATACATGCCACTCTAAATTTGTTAACAAATCAATGTCTATTTTTTAATATCATCTTCAATTTCACACATACGCTTACTATTAATTTGACCTTTGGCTTTACAGTGGATGAATTCAAGGACAAATACAAAATATTTTTTATACAATACTGCACCATCGTCTGTTATTCAGTCATTTGAAAAAATCATTTAAGGTTTTAGCAAGAAAGACAAAACTCGCGTTATTACTTTATCATCAAGTCCTTAAAGGTAGTTTGTTGCTTCCATTTGACTACCATTGCATGTTATATATATTTCCTGCAATCGTCTAATAAATCTGTGTCTACTTTTCCAGGTGTCGTCAGAAGGATTTTTCACTATAAGCAGTTTCAGCTTTTCAAAAATTTATGATTCAAAAGGCTTATACCAGAGCTGATCACTTGCCTTCAGCACATACATGGTAATTATTTTATCATCTGAAAGTGAATTATCATTGTCCAACAATAAATTATGATTGCCCTCATAATCCTGAAGATTTTTTTCGGTAGAAGTTTCGTGTTGCTCCTCTCCAAGTTACTTAACTTACTTTAATTTTTGTTACCATCTTAATTTACTTACATTACCGAAGATACCAATAGAAGTCCCTATTCCTTCCTTTGTCCACACTACTCTCCTGCTTTTCTTTTTATGTGCATCCTAACTTACTATAAATGAATTGACATTTTCCCCTATATTCTACTTCATATTTAATTTGTAAAATTGGAAGTTGCTCACGTAATCTGAGTAGATAATAGTTTCTTTTGAACCATTACATTTTTTTTAAAGCTCTATTATTTAGTTTATGGATGAAAGTGACATTTAACTCTTTCCATTTGCTTTGTTTTATGGATTCTGAAATGGAGGAAGAGGAGAAAAGGAAATGAAAACTTTTTGAACATGGGCTATAAATTAGGAGTAGTCCTAATTATTTATCTTTGTCAAAACATGTGATGTATTTATGTTGGGCATGATTTGGCGGAGGTTGATTACGAACAATACTTAAAAGAGATTGAAATGGTAATTATAAAAGTTGGAGTCTCAACAGTCTTTTTCAGAATTAAGAATTACCTGATAGCTCTTTCATGTTAGAGAAGTAGAATGGGTGATACGCTTAGTTCATTATTAGTTCAACAATTGTTCACTGCCAGACATAAGTTAAATGTTGTTACATGTGTTAAGATATGTTTTGAGTCCAAATATTCCAACTTGGAGTCCTTTTTGTCAATTTTATCCAATTTTGCTAACAACAGTCCATTTTCCATCTTCAATTGCTTAAAATACACCAACGGAATTGTCTATTTATTTAAGGTAGTGTTAGTTGACTTTTAAGGGAACTACTAACTTTCTTGCATCTAAATCTTCTAATTTTACCATCTTTGATCATATAAATATGCAATTTGTGCAAATAGTGAAGTTGATATCTTGATAGAACTTGCCCCCCACTTTTTTTTGATGTGTTTCTTTTTAATAATACGCAGGAACAACAAATAGTAATATTCAGGCACCGCAAAGTAGAGTTGAACAACTGATGTTCCCATGGCACATTGCAATTGCTAGCATACTTTCTTTTTCTTTTCTTTTGATTTTATTTTTGTTTCTAACTTTGTAAATCATCTCATTAACTAAATTATTCATAATTTGAATATGTTGCTTAGTTGCAAATTGTGGCTTATATAGTTGAAATAAGTTCCAGCAATACTCTGTTTACAACAAGCTTACTATGTTGGGCCCGTGCTAAGCACGGGCCATGCCCTTCTAGTATATATATATATATAAAGCTGTATGTAAGTAATCATATGTGCACTTCTCTATGTCCACTATTCTTATTTATCTTTTTTCTCAATTTTTTTATTCATTTCAATAATCTATTAAATACATCTAATGCATCATTAACCTACAATTAAAGAGGATAATGAAAAGTTTTAACATAAAGAATATCTTTATTGTTGCAATAGAGAATGAAGAGTTGTAACGGTTGTCAAGAACTTATTGCAATCAACCAATTAAAAATCTATATAAAAAAAGGTAGAATAGCACATAATCTGAACCACGTAATCTGAAGGTACATTGACAAAACGGAAGAATGTTTGCAAGAGAAGATGTACTACTCAAGGTAAATTGAATTTTTAAAAGCTTCACTATCTCTGATAAATCGAATTTTTGATTTGTTTGTATATAAAACTAGCACTTGGTTGAGAAGAATTATTTTTCGTCAAAAATCTATCAATCTCAAATCACAAGAATCAACAACAAATTATTGCAAAAAATAAATAAATATGCTTATAAAGAAGAACTTACCAATTTACGCAGAGATAATAGGAGTAGGACTTCAATTATGCAGTGGAGAATACTTGTAAGTTGTAGACTTTCTAGCAATCATATATTTTGTTTAGAATTGTGCTAGGAAAAATTAGTCTTATATTTTTGTTTAGAATTGTGCTATGGCTTTTATTTGTTAAATTCAATTAAGAAAAGAATGGGACCGGATGACAAAAAAAGGTGGTTAAAAAAAGGCCAGATGAGGTGGCAAAAACGAGTTTTAATAAAAGCAATTTAAAAAAAAATAATTAAGAGAAAAGGCTGAATTAAAGTTAAGAAAATGTTGCCTTCGCTAGGAATTGATCTTGCGCAATGGCGCACGAGTTGGCGCATTCGACTAGTGCACCTACAACAACTTTTGTTTATTAGGGTGCACAACTAACTATATATTCATTTTATCAACTGTCTATTATATATATACGACTTTTTAAAAAAAGTTACTGAGCGCACGTGCACCCTCACTGGTGCATGTGGGTCCGCCCCTGGGTGAACCCCAAGAAGTCATGGAGGTGCCATGGTTTTGCTTAAATAGTACTTGTGCTTTAGTTTGTCTATTATGACTTTAGGCCAACAAGTTGATGCCATGTGTTTAAATGATGTGTCAGCTCCAAGTCAAAATAAAAACGAATTAAAAATCGCCACGTGTTTAAAAAGGCGTGTCTTGACCGATTACAAGCAAAAGTTACAATATATAGAGCGATACATACATCATATAAACAACATTGTTTCTACAGAAAAAGAATGAAACAAATTTGGTACCATTTTTACACAATAAACATTGAGTCATTCTTTTCTTACAAATAATATTTGACTCTTAATTGTTAGTTTCTTAGAGATCTAACTATATATGGTTCCTTTCAGAAAAATATAAGGTGGTGATTGTTATGGGTCCAACAGGACGGGAGATCTAGCTTTTCCATAGATCTAGCCGATTCAGAGGTTGTGAATAACTGACAAACACATCCATCTAGATCTATGGGAAGTTTAGATTTTCCCGTTCCTATTGCTCCCATGACTATTACTACCTTGTTATGAGATTTCCACTCCAGTACGTATTCACATTAAGAGGTTGTCATGAAATCTTTCACTGTATACTTAGATCCTATGTTGCTCGGACTCAGGTGGAGATATCTGATAGGAGTTGCGGATCTAGAGGTCGGGTCGGATCCTCTATGATCTAAACTTTAAGATTCATGAATATAGATCCATGTATGGGCGGGGCTGTGATTGAGCTAAAAATAATTCATATACAGATAACTTGAGGAGAAAATATTTATCAAGAGGAATATCTTGGAAGGAGATAAAAGGAAAGGGAGTGATAATAGAAATTTAAGCATACAAGGTAGTCCATTTTCTTCAATTTCACATTAGTTTTTTTTTTTTTAATTTCTCCCTCGAATTTGATCAAAGTATCCCAAACTGGTTGACCAGATTGGGTACGAATCTCACATCCACTAACCCACACCCCATCGTGTTAACATGAGTGCGACATTAAAAGTGAAAGAATCCGAACAACTTAGGTTAGACCTTCTCATAAACAAATATTTGTTAGAAACAAATGATGCAATACTCATGTCATGCAAAAGTTAAAAATCGAGATTAGAAGATGGTTAATGAAGGGCGAGGGTTGAGATTAGGCCACGTCAATAGGTGGTTGGTTATATATACGCAACAACAGGAGGAGAAAGCCATGGAAAATATCTGGTATCATTTCTTCCTCATTTTCTTCTCTTTCTCTTCTCCCTTCTTCCTAAATTCTGATTCACTTCTCATCTCTTCTCTACAGGTCTAATGATGGCTATGGAGTATTGCTTAGTTCAGTTAGCTTAGTTCATCGTAGTTAATTTTACTCTTGTAATCATAATCCATTTAGCATTTATAAATCAGAAAACTGTCCCAAAATCTGAATTCCTTTTCCTTTTCTGCAATTGTGATTTTGGATCATAACATAAGATGTGAAAACGGCTACACATTTTACTATTTCCGGCTTTCGATATCTCACAGACTCTCAGTACAGGTAAAATATCTTGTATAATCTTTGATTATTTGCTCTCAAATTCTACTTCTTTGTTCAATAATCAACTTATCATGAATCCATCAAGTTAGGTTTTCTTTGGGATTTTTTTCTTTTTAGGGATAATCATGTCCCTGCCAGTTTAACCGACTAATTAACCAGTACCATAGGTTGTAATCATCTTGTGTTTTCACGCTGCTGGAATTTGAGCCTTACATATCGTGATTTTCAACCACTTTATTGATCAACTGCCTAGAAATGAGTGGTAATATCACCCGAAGATTAATTTCTGATTATTTTTGAAGCACGAGTACTTGGTGGATAATGGACTCACTCCTCTATGCTTCTTGACTTGAATATTAGGTTAGGGTTCGAACCTATTGCATGTAAGAATTAGGGGTGGATATTGGTAAAAGGATCACAAGTAACTAATTAGGACATGCTGCAAAATGAATTGGATTGGTAATATTTGGTTAAATGACTTTTTATCAAAGTCAATCAGAAAATAATTTTGACATTTGGTTTCCACATGTATTAATTGTTAATGGCATGGATGAGCCTTTTTTCAAACAAAATGTTATAATGATCCTTTTCTCAAAGTTAGATGGCTTATTTAAGCCTTTTCTCCCGTTTTTATTTATTATATATAAATGGGCAAGTTAGGCGTACTTCAAGAGCTAAAAGTAAGATGAGATGAGGGAACATTACTTTGTGGATCTTAATCTTGCATTACTCCAATCCCCTGGATGTTCTCTCTTTGACATGTTCCTGTTTTTATGTCTAAGGTGTTGTAACTCATTGTGCTTTCTATGCTATGTCTGTTTTATCTACTAAAACTGCATCATTGGATAGAGTATATAATTATTACTATCTTGGGAAGTTATAACTATGGGACTTATTTGTGAACTGTGAGTTCAATTGGAAAGAAAAGTAAAGTGACCGCTTTTTCCTCAAGCTCAAATATTGAGGAACCTTGGCTAATGCAAGGAGGAAAATGCTTATATAAGTTTTCAATATAGATTAGATGGGCGGAATATCGAGAAGAATAATGAAACCTTTGTAGGAGTTAATGGGCTAGCTTTATCGATACTAGTGGTGTTTAAGTTCGCTGTCATCCTATCTTCCAGTAGTGGAGCCACATTTACTGAAGGGGTAACTGAATACCATTTTGCCAAAAGATTATATTGTGTATATAGGGGCATATCGTTTTATGTGTACATATATACTTGTTGAATCCCCTGAACACAAGATAACATTTTTTTGAATCCCTCAATGAAAATCTTGCCTTCACCCCTATTGTCTTCAATCTATGTTCTTTCCCGTGCTCAATCATGTATCATTCTCCACTTTTGTATGTTGCTTTAGCTAGCTTTCTACAGTGAAGTTACTTACAACAAATTGTAGTAACCGACTAACAAACTATTCAATCAATGAACTAACTAACTGTGAGGAGAATTCCGTTCAGTTTGCGAATTTCGATCCAATTTCAGCAAAATGGAATTTACTTAAAGGTGAGCTGTCAGTTTAATTGGAAAGAAAAAGTAAAGTGACTGCTTATATTGAGAAACCTTGGCTAATGCGAGGAGGAAAATCCATGTATAAGTTTTCAATAGATTAGATGGGTGGAATATCTTGAAGAGTAATGAAACCTTTGTAGGAGATAATGGGCTAGCTTTATTGATACTAGTGGTGTTTTAGTTCGTTCTCATCCTATCCTTCCGTGGTGGAGCCATGTTTATTGAAGGGGGTTCAACTAAATACCATTTTGCTAAAAGATTGTATTGTGTAGGTAGGTTAAATATTATTTTATGTGTACATATATACTTGTTGAATCCTCTGCATACAAGAGAACATTTTTTTGAATCCCTTGATGAAAATCTTGCTTTTACCACTGGTCTTCAAATAATTATTTTCTTTCTATGATATTGATAAATGATAAAATTTGATGCAGTTGCAGACGTTGAACCACTAGTTATTTTCAATACATTACTGAAATGTATTTGGATATTGCCTTTATCGCTGATTTTAATTTTCAGAGTTGTTGACAAACTTGTTTGGTTAGACCATGAGGAATGCTTCGACATCTGGTGTAGATACAATTAGCAATTTGCCTTGTAATGTTCTCGATGTTATTCTTGGGTGCTTGCCTTGGAAAGATGCAGTGAAGACCAGTATCTTGTCAAAAGACTGGAGGTACAAATGGGTAACACGTCAAGAACTTGATTTTAATGATGAGTTTTTCAAGTCTTTCAAACAAGATGAAGAAGCCAAGAGAATCATTTACCAAGTCCTATTAGTCCATAAAGGACCAATACTGAAGTTTAGACTCTGTAGGATTACGAGTTGTACTGATATTGATCATTGGATGCACTTCTTATCGAAGAAAAATGTTCAGGAATTCACCCTTCATGTAAGCTTAGGAAACAAATATCATTCACCTCATCATCCTTTTACATTCCAGCAACTAAGGTTTTTGGAACTTCAAGATTGCTTGTTCCACCCTCCACTCGGTTTCAAAGGGTTTGAGAAGCTTATTAATCTCGATCTTGTGTGTGTCACTTTTGATCCATCAATATTTACTTATCTCATCTCTAAAAGCCCGTTGCTTGAATGATTGAGGTTTGCGTTGCTGCACAAACTTTGACATCCTTGAAATTGATGCCGCTAATCTCAAATTCTTTGAGTTTATTGGAAAAACAAAATCCATTTCCTTCAAGAACGCTCCTATGCTTGAAAAAGTTACTGTGGCTTTCCTTGGACGACGACTTTTGACTGATACATCTCATGTTTGCTCTAATTTCCCAAAGTTCTTCCATTACATGCCTTCACTGCTGGAACTGGATATATGCGGTACAATATTAGAGGTAAGGTACATTTGTGATATTACTATCATAACTAAATGATGAATCTGATTGGTGTCTTGAAGTAATTTTTGACTTTCTTGTAGTACTTGATCAAGGGAGGTATACCAGAGAGTCCCCCAACTGCTCTGAACAATATCAAATCTCTCACTATTTTGTCCATGTCTTTAAGAAACGCCGAGGTGGTTTCAAGTGCAGTTTACTTGATTACAAGCTGTCCTAAATTACAAGATCTTACAATTGACTTTGTAAGCACTCTCTTAATTTTTTTTCATTAAGGTGATTGAATATGGTTTCTTATTCATCTGAACTCGCCTAACTAACCGTTCCTCAAATATTCTTTAGTACCAAGTGTGGGTGGGGGATATTGTTGAACCTGTTGTACAGTTGCTACGAGCCCAATCATCCTCAAGCGGTGCTTTGAAGCTTCAAAGAGTTCAAGTGAACATGTTTACTGGTCTCGAGATGGAAATGGAGTTTATGAAGTTTATATTGGCATCTGCACCTGTACTTGAGGAGATCTTCATTTGGAATTGTACACGTTTCCTTTTTCGTTCGTGTAAACAAATGATCGATGAGATGAAACAATTCCGCAGAGCATCAACCAATGTTGAATTCCATTTGAAGAAATCGATATGGAAGGTGGATATGAACATGAAGAAGTCATGGAAGTGCCATGATTTTGCTAACATATTATTTTTTTGTAGCACTTAGTTTGCCTGTTATGCCCTGTCTTGTATGTCTAATATTATGCAGTATATATGTGCTTGGCTAAGTAAGTTTTAACAGTTTGATGAACTATGACTCTACTTGTAATGGTCACTGTATTACTATGTTATTCCGATTTTGGCCCCTGTGTTATACAATTATGCATATTTAATCTTTTATTAACTTAAATGTGTAGTTTTGTCTATAAAATTGAATAAATGGGGTAATCTTTTGTCAAGGTGGAGTCTATCTAAATAAGCAGTAATAAAAGAAGTTTTCAAAGTGGATACATGAAACTTGGAGGTCCGAATAGGGATAATCGGATAAGTTTGGTAACATCAAGGTCAATTTTTGTCCTATTTTTAATAGGTCAAGGGAATTGTTGGAAGGATAATTTTGTTTCATTTTCAATAGTTCAAGATTCTTTTTGGCCATTTTTTAAATATATTTTTTGGTTTTATGATAATTTTGTTTATCATTTAAATGTCTTGGATCTATAACAGATATCACTTCTTCTTCCCTGTTTGGGCATTTGGAACTGTTAGTAGTTGAGAGCGAACTTCAAGCTTTCTATGAGTGGAAATCCAATTATCGAACTTCAGTATACACGTAATAAACTGAAGTGCTGATGATTCAGCCCAAGTGCACACAGTGGAAAAGGGTCTAACATTCGTGATTTGTCTTATATATGCATTTCGTCAATTATCAATTCACAGATGCATCCATCGTTATCTTTTATCAATTCATAAATGTATCCATCGTTATCTTTTATTTTACGTATACCCCCAAATAATATAAAAAATCGTTTCTATTGAATAAATATTTCTAGTATTTGCTATTCATTAACGAGTAAATTATTATAATATATATTTTTCAATTTATCAAATAAAATTAATCTTATTTTACTTCTTGAATGAATAAATAAATAATTTCAATATGTATATCCTTATATGAAAAACATACTATGTGACTTTTAAGGACAGTGTCATGACATATTTAAACTTTTTATTTATTTTAAGGTATACTTAAGATTAAAAAAAGAGCAACTTTCACATATAGCAAACAAAAAAATCATATTTGTATGCTATAGCAAAGTTTGCATAATTGCGCTCCATAGCAAACATATATATGTATAATTCGCTATACATATACAATTGAAAGCTGTCTATTTCGTTATACATATATACAAAAAGAAGCAATTGTATAATTCGTTGGCTCCTCTTCAGATTTGTATAATTTCGCTGGCAGGCCATTTGTATAAATTGTTGTTAGCCTCTCGTTTGTATAAATCGTTGACAAACATAAATTATACATTATACAAACATAAAACTGGGCAGGGGAATGTTTTTATTGTATAATTATAAGTGTATAGGACAAATATATAT